TGAAAAATTCCTCTCAAATAGGCCTTTTGTGTGAGAGAGGATGCACAATAAGTTCCTGCTACACGCTCAAGGAAAATTCTGGACAAGGATGAGAGTTGTGAAGCATTTAGAGTTCATAGAAATTCATCATCGTTTGACATTTCGAAATAGATCATAAACTATTTTTAAAGCATGTAAAATTTTCTAAAAACTAAAATTAATTTTCATAGTAAATGGAACATGATTCCTAAATGAATTTTAAAGAATTAAAAATTTTGGTCAAATGCAGGTTTTCTATTTTTTAGGCACAGACAACATAATTTATCTGAGATGTTGTTTATACTCAAAAATACGGGCAAGGAACTTCACCCCTGCTTTGGTTACGGGTACAAACAAATCGAAGAGTTAGAATAGAATAGGTCCCATCAAATTACGTTTCGAAGGAGAGTCGGGCCATAAGGCCGTATCCCTCTCGGATTGCCGGCAAAGCCAGCTTCCATCTTATTTCAACCTTGAACTCAACAAAAAAGCTTAAGAAATGGTTTGAAAGCAAAAATAAGAATTTGAAAGAAATATATTTTAACAAAGGAGAATAGAAGACAAGCACAAACAATTTACCTTACTAGGAATAGAGGTACACATGAGTAGAGAATGTAACTATAAAATATAAAAAGAACAAAAAGATAAAAAACAAGGAAACTATGGAATCTAAACTACTATCTCTAGTAAACATGCAATATCTAAAGGGTGCGGTCTATATAGAGCCTAGGCTCTAAACAATCAAATTAGAACCGACCTTAGAATAGTATCGAGAAAAATGATTTCAATATTGAAAACTTTTTTGATAGCCTTAAAATATATTTTCATCTTTATTTATAAAGTTTAAAGCTTTAAAAATAATGTAGATCGAGAGATCTATGAAAACTTGAAAGTCTTAGAAATTGACGATCGAAAAATGGATTACAAAATACGCTATTTTCAAAACTTGAAATCTATGTTTTTCTCATGTCAATGCATCTTGATGCCGAGATGATCAATTTGAGGATATTTGGGCATCAAAACAACATCTTCTAGTGAAATTTTTAAGGTAAGCTCGAATTTGATTGTTTAGAACCTCGGCTCTATATAAACTTTTTCCATATCTAAATAAAGGAAATAAGACTAAGAAGATGAGAAATGGATGTAAAGATAGTAGGAGCAGGGATGTTACATGAAATGAGCTAGAGAGAGGAAAGGAATAAAGGATTAAATAGAGGAGGTAAATAAGGAAGGGAATGGGGATGAAACATCAAAGGAGAAGAAAAAAAAAAAGAGGGATGAATACTCGACAATAATGAAAGATAATGAATAACACAAAAGATAATAATTAGAAGGAGAAGACAGAGAGACCAAACTATTGAATAAAGCATAAGGTATATAACCAAAATAAGTACAAGAGAAATATGAAAGAAGAGCAAGGGGGGGGAGGAAAGAGAGAGAGAGAGAGAGAGAGGGATCTAAACTACAAGATGAGCAAAAAGATAGAGAAATCTATACAACAAACTAAAGGAAATAAATACTAACTAAAAAGATGATGAAAAAGAGAACTAAATGCAAACAAACAAGAACAATAAATACAACATTAGAAGAAGAAGAGAAATGAAGAGATTAAATCATAAATAAAGAGAGAAGAGGGGGAATCATAAATACAAATAAAAATAGAATAAATATAAGAAATAAAATGAAAGAAAAGAGAAAATGATGCTTTAAGCCAGGCCCCTGGGCCCGACGCCCAAAGTCGATGTCGATTCATAACGACTAGTTGCACAGTCAATCCTGAACTTCTGGTTTTTAATGGGGTAATTAGAAATAGAAGGAAGAGGGCCCAAAAAGTCGAATTATCTAGGCCGCCTTCAGTTTGATTGGGTAGGTTTAAGGGGTTAGAGATTTTAGTTTTGGATTCAACAGTTTAGGAGGGATGAGGGTTGCTCAAATGGGCTCACACCTGGGGCTCTCTTATACAACCTTAAACCTAAACTTGGATCTTGCTTAAGCTCAAATATAAAGAGAATCTAGACATAGCTTAGGCTAAAAAACCATGAAGATCTGGACCTTAAGCTTTAGGCGAAAGGGGCTATTTATAGGCAAAACAAACCCTATACAGCCTATAAGTCGGTTTTATGTGAAATTCGGACCATCAAAAGTCTGGCGATATTTGGAGTGGCGCCAACGACACTTGGAACATCGTTATGTCATTAATGTTGTATTAATGATGGTCAACAAATATTAATTGTTCTTTTAATGCATTTGACGCAACATTTGCAATGTCGTAAAATGCTAGCTGGCGCGCCGCTTTGGTCTTACAGTCTTCTAAACCTCAACCTATCAAAACTCGACAACCATGTTCTGTACTGACATCTAGCATGTCAGTACGACCATGTCACGCCTGCCGGTATGGTCTGACATGTTAGTATGTCCCTCTAATCTCGTCAGCCAGGTTGTTTTCTGCCTGTTGGAGGTTTTGGGACCTGGCAACATTCAGGATGAGTGACATTAGCAATGTCGCAAGATCTTGTCAGTTTTAAACGTATGTTTTGTGACTGAGGTGCCTTTGACGCCTTGCCTTTGGGTTCTGACAGAGCTTTGACGATCGTTGGAGTAATGCTAGAGCCTTCCCTTTTGAAAATGCTTCTAAGTCAAGTGATTCTGAATCTATCTTACTTGGTATTTCCTTTTGGTGCCTTTGATCCTACTAGGGCAATATCGGGTTAGTAGATGTTAAGTTTACTTAAAGGTTCAAGTGGGGTGAATAGTTCAAGATATCCGAGTGATCTGCCTAGGATATTTTAACCTATCTTTAACTTCTTCAGTCGAGATTGGGGTGTCTACAGATGCATTAAAATTAAAATTTTTAATTTTTAAATTTGAAAAACAATAGCCAGTAAGGAACATATAAGTAAGACAATCTTGAATGAAAATATGGTTTACGTGCGTGGCATGTAGTATCAAGCTTTCATAACATTTAAAAAGCTCTTAAATCAATTATAAATGTAATCTAGAATTTTTTAAAAAAAACCAATGACATCATTTTTAAAACATTTGAAAATTAGTCATAAATTATATGTAAGAATAAAATTTGGTACATAAACGTATAAATTACCAAAAGAAAAACAAAAACAAAGTAAGTGTCCTATTTTGATAATAGCAACAATATAATTGTCTTCAAACATTTAAAAATTTGTAATAATAAACTAAACATTAAGCACAATATTTTCAAGACTACGAAAATTCATGAATAAAAATCGAGAAGATCAAATATAAATTTTTTAAAAATATTAAAAAAATTATAAGTATGAATCATGATAATTCGCAAATACTTTAAGAGAATTTAAAAAAAAAAAACACTTTCGCCCTTGTTCGGATGTTCAACATCCGAAAACAGCCAGCTAGAACTGTCACTTACAAATTCAAATGTTGAACATCCGAAATTCTGAGAATTTCGGATGTTGAATATTCGAAAGTTTGAGAGTTTCGGATGTTGAACATCCGAAATTTTGAGCGCCAAGACTTCTCGTGCACGGGCGGAAACTTATATATGTTTAGTTTTTATAAAGTTGGGAAAAATTGATCATTTAAAGAACATACCCCATTTTACTGTTCTTAATACAGTAACCCACAAAGTTGAAGAGATTGACTCACTATTTGGACGTGATTGGTACCGTTCTTACTTTTTCTTTATACGGTTGATTAATTGAAGTTTATTTATCTATTATTATTTAGAATATTTAATTTTGTTAATAGTATTCGTTGTGTATTTGAGATTAATAAATGGAATTTGTTTAATATTGATCAAGTTATTTTTTTATATAATTATTTGTTGTTTGTATCATATTGATACATTGTATTCTTTGTTTTGGCGAAATAATTGTTAAACTTGTTTGTTTGTAATAAAATTTGTTGTTTATTTTGTGTTTATGTGAGTATTACTCACACACTATTTCAATCTATTATGTAATACTCAGATTTTATGAACCCTAAAGTAGTTAGAAATATCCCAATTTTTGGTAATTTTTTTTAACACTAATTTTACTATTCATTTAATACATGAGTATTGACGATCGCTACTGACAATTTTAGTAGTACTCTATTTCAATATATTATGTAATACTCAGATTTTATGAACCCTAAAGTAGTAAGAAATATACCAATTTGTGATAATTTTTTGTATTGATTTTTTATAACAGTAACTTTATTATTCATTTAATACAGTAGTATTGATGATGGCTACTGAGGGAGTGCAACTGGTATTTCGATATGGGGGGTCATTTGATACAAATGCGGATGACGAACATGTTATTTATAAAGGAGGAAAATTGAAGGTCATCCAAGTATAATGGGAATAGTTCCTTGGAGGAGCTAAAAAGTCATTTTGCAAATTTAACCAAGTGTGATCCAAACAAATTAGCTATTATGTACCACAACACAAGTCTGTCTAGTGGGCTTGATTTGATTGATGTTAGTGATGATATAGATGTATCTTTTATGTTGGGAGGGGAATCTTCGAGAATTGTAGTATATATTGCCGAGGCACAACAAGAATTTATTGCGGAGAGCCCATCTTCAAGGTATAGGTATATCTACAATTTATGTTTTTCATCTGTAAATTGCTTTATTTTAATCTTATATGTGTAGAAATTGTTGTTTCATCTTACACTCTATTTTTTTGCAACAGTTAGTGTAACACTTACCTGAGCAAGATCAAAACATTGGAGTGGTGCCCAACCCTGAGCTCGTACTAGAGCGTGATATGGAAGACATTGAACCACTAGAGGAGTTGGTAACGAGGTTCAATTGGGCAATTTTTTGAAAATGTTAATGAATGTCGGCATCATCTAGTTGATTTTACAATCCACAACAATTTTGTTTTGAAGTTTGATAAAAGTAAATTAGGATGGGTGTGGGCAAGTTGCAAGGCAGATGGATGCACATGGCAAGTGAGGTACTTACGAGTTGACAACACCGCATACTTTAAAGTGAAGTCTATGGTTAAGAAGCACATATGTAGTGGTCTAATTGAGAGGGTCCATCAGCCACTAGCTCGTAGTGATTGGGTGGCAAAAAAGATTAAAGGTCACCTTCTTGACCAACCAAAAATTAAAGCAAAAGACATTGTAAAGGATGTTCAACATGATCACAGGGTCAGGCTTTCCTACATACAAGCTTGGCGAGGAAAAGAGGTTGCTAGAGAGATGATAGATGAATCACATAAACAACAATACCATGACCTCCCTCTGTATATTGAGAAGATTAGAAGAACCAACCCGGGAACTGAAGTTCGCATCCACATAGATGAAGGCAAATTCAAGCGACTATTCATTACCTATCGTCCATGCATTATGGGGTTTGTCAGTGAATGCAGGCCACTAATTGGCATTAATGGAACATTTCTAAAAGGAAAGTATCAAGGCATTTTATTGTGCACTATCGCAGTAGATGCAAATAATGGGTTCTTCCTATTGGCATTGGCAGCAGTTGAGAATGAGAATTACCAGAGTTGGTATTGGTTCTTAAGTATATTGAGTGAGCTCTTAAATAGGTACCTTAATCTACCTGCCTTAACTATTATATCACATCGACAGAAAAGCCTGCCAGAAGCAATAGAAAAATGCTTTCCAACATGTTTTCCATCATTTTGCATGCAACATATGGGAAAGAACTTCAAGGGCTTTATGAAGAGGTCAGCAAATACTGAAGTATTGCTTATGCTATTTTGGAAGGCTGCTCGTAAAGCGACCATTGGTGGGTTTGAAAAAATAATGTTTAATATACAGTGTGCCGACCTAGAAGCATATGATTGGATTAAGAATATTCCACCCAAATTTTGGGCAGATGCATATTTTTCAGGGTCTAGATACAGTCATCTTACATCAAATGTGGCCGAGTATTTCAATGCTTGGATTTTATCAGCTCTAGAGAAGCCGATCATTACAATGTGTCAAGAAATAAAGATACAGTTAATGGCCAGGTTTGAAGAGAAGAGGGAATTAGGCAATACTTGGAGTGGCATGTTAGTACTGAAGGCCCAATAATTACTTGACACGCGAAAGATGAAGGCTCTATTTTTACACAAAGTTATATCCACCATGGACACGCTTTTTAAGATCCACCATCTTGGGAAGAAGTACGATGTCGATTTAATGCGTGGACATGCAGTTGTAGAAAATGGCAAATCAGTGGCATTCTATGTGCCCATGCTATTGCGGCCATTAACCATATGCATATAGATCCCACTATGTACTACGTGTTAAGTATTTTACAATGGAATACTTTAGAAGAGCATTTGAAACTCCCTTTGCACCTGTCCCCGATGATATTGAGTTGACAGTTATTTACAACCGGACAGTGTTGCCCCCAATGACTACACACCTTCTCGGTTGACCAAGAAAGCAACGAAGAATATCCAAGACGGAACATCCGATCACTAGGCCTTTGAAGTACAAACGATACGGCGCAGAGGGTCATAATAGGAGGACATGTAGAGAACTGATAGAGTGAACTTGATGTTAATATTGTATTCTTATATGGAATTATGATTTTCATGAATAAATGAATTGAGTGAATATTATGTTTTTGTTGTCAAATTTGTGTCAATACAATCGGAATTCTTTCTTGTCATAAATCTTCTAATGGATGAGTTTGCCAATCTTTGTGTCGACATAGATGATTTCAATATTAGAAATCCTTGTGATTGCCTTAAAATAAGAAAATTTAAATTTCGATCCATACATCCAGAAATGAATTATTCTCATGTCCATGCATCCATAAATGATGTCCATTTTTTTATCATGTCAATGCATCTTGATGTCCATGATCAATGTGATGTCTAAACAATTTCGGATGTTCAACATCCGAAATTGACATATATTCGGATTTTGAACATTCAAAAATGGTACTGTGAAAATTTAGGAAGGTCCTGGATTTTCAAAATGAGTTTTCGGATGTTCAACATCCGAAAAACGTAATATTTTCGGATGTTCAACATCCAAAAACTCATTGTGAAAATCTCACACTAAGTTTTTGGATGTTCAACATCCGAAAACTCATTGTGAAAATCCAGGAAGTAAGTTTTCGAATGTTCAACATTCGAAAATATTACTTTTTCGGATGTTGAACATCTGAAAACTCATTGTGAAAATCCAAGAGCTTCCTGGATTTTCACAGTACCAATTTCGGATGTTGAACATCCGAAAAAGTAATATTTTCGGATGTTGAACATCCGAAAACTTACTTCCTAGATTTTCACAGTGAACATCCGAAATTGTTTAGACATCACATTGATCATGGACATCAAGATGTATTGACATGATAAAAAAATGGACATCATTTCTAGATGCATGGACATGAAAATAACTCATTTCTGGATGTATGGACATGCATTTTATTTTCTTATTTTTAGGCTATCACAATTGTTTTCATTGCTAATTTTATGATAATGGATGCACAGTAGCTGTTATTTTCACCACCATCAATCACAAGAAGTAATGTAAATAATGTTAAATTAATAAATCCCATTAATCTTATATCGAATGTATACTGGATAGCTCTAGACAGTGATATGATGTTAAACCCAATATACATATGCAACCACTAACAATCAAATTTCACCAAGATTCCAAGTCTTCTCAAGATGGCCCATAAGCACAACAACACACAATGATATCAAGAGTGATACTGAAGATTCTGTAATATATTTAGTGAGCAGTAATAATACAAATACTATAACTTTTCATACAAAATATGCTAGCTCTATATGACCCTCAAAATGACCCATTACAAAATTGGGATCCTCAAAATGGCCCATTACACGCCTCGCCTTCTCTTAGGCTGATACTGTTTATTTCGTGTGCTATATCTTCTAGGTTCCTCAACTGCAGGTTGTGTGGAGGGAACTAGGCCTTCTACAACCCGACTACTTTAACCCACTCCATCATCTCTGGCCTCATCAGGTATAGCTTCATCATTATATTGACGTTGTAAATGCTCCATCTTGGCTTCTACGTCACCAATATCCATAGGCACAAACTTAGACAATATTTCAAACGCGTTGTTAACGCAATTAAGAACTTTAGGGTACTACTTATGTCTAAGTGTAAGTGCCTCTACTAACATGACTGTGGATGCCTTAACTGCATTAACCTGCACAACAAGATTACATAATTAGCATATTTAAACAATTGAATAGAACTAATAGGTAAATAAAATACTAAAAGAATTTTTAGGTCGATATAAACGTACCAACTGATCGTCATAACCTTGGGGTCTCATTATATATTGTGGTTCATGAGCAGGAACCACTGGATATGAGGTTGCAATATGTCTTTGGTGGGTTAGCGATATTATGTATCAAAGGATGAGACACCAAATTGTACCAGGTCTTGTACTCCTCTGAGGGCAACACATTATCAGTATCTTGTTGAACATCATGCATGATGCGGTCATGGCGAAACAACCAGTTAGCGATTTTATCTGCATTGACGTTTCGCCAGTCTCGCTGTCCAACTTGTCTACTTGCCCTCTTACTAACAACCAAGGGATTCCTAGGAATGCCTTGTTTTGCTCCAAATTGTCGGCATACTCAATCTGACATGTACGGCTAGGCAATATCGTCAAATATCAAAGTTGTAGGGCACATTGCAGTTTGAAATGCCTGCTGCCAATCATCTGAAATGACCTCATCAGGGTTGAGATAGGGATTCCAGATTACCTGTTATATGATATGCAATCAGTCAATAAAAATAATTACAAATACTTAAATACTATTGAAAGAATCAATATCAAGTTATACACTAACCTCATTAGGTTGGAGGTTATCAATTTCTTGTCTGATGGGAGGCATTAAGTTATGTGGATTGTCATCATATTTCTTCGGTAGCTCCCATCTTTTGGCCCTAGGAATATTTGGAGGGATATTATGCGGTATGGGCCTCATATGCATAATATGCTCATATGACCAGCACTGCAGTAAATTGAGTATGATAAATATTTAATATATTAAGAAAGCAGTCTAAATTATTACGCTTATGTCATATACCAAAACAAATGGTTACCCGCATGAGAGTGGCTGAACCACTAAAATGTCTTCGCTTGAAAGTGCAAGCTTTTCCAAGTGAGGATAGAGGAATGAAAGGGCTGCAACACCCCAACCATATGTGTTGGCACCGTCATTATCTTTGAAAAACTACAGGTACCTTGTTGGCACTGTTGAAACTGATGCATCAGCGAATATGGTTACACTAATGAGGAAGAGCAGATATGCTCGAGTATATCTATAAACTTGAACTGGGGTTACATCAGGTGCCAATTCCCTAAAATTAGCCTTCAGCCATGTATGCCTCAGGCTTGCCAGGTTGCCATCAGGGACTATCCCTAAATTATCTTCTATAAACTTTCGCAGGCCCTTGATAGGACGACATGTGTCTGGGTTGCCATCCCCAACCAGTCCTAATATCTCATATACATCAAAAAGTGTTGGTGTCATCTCACCAGTATGAATGTTGAAATGAAAGGTGTTGATCTCATAAAACCACCTCTCTATATTAGCTGCGACCAAATGATAATCAATTCGACCTGGCCGAATGATAGCCAACGGACCCAATCCAAAAGCATGAACTAACTGAACTTGTTTTCTTGTTAATTTCCATTCATTTAATTGATAACTCTTCTCATCAATTCTAATTTCTTCTTTCTCCTGAATACAACAAATAGACAACATATTAGAATCAACATACATATATATACTTTCCATAGGATGTTTGAACCAGACTACCATTTATTGAAAATTAAGCAATGTTCTGGATGAAGTTGCAACAAACTAGGGTCCTAAGGACCTTCTGGATATCCTCCATCGAGACGTAAACGATCCATATTCACTGAAATCTCATATGGTCACCATGTTAATCATAAGGCTACACATGTAGAAATTAGCTGGATAACAAAAAAATAATAATGACATACTACTGATGGAGAAGAACATTGCTACAAGATGAAAGAAGAACAGTGCTAAAATGAAATTGCTATGCTCGTCCAACTAAGGATCGTATACTTGAAAATCGAAATCAATAAGTGAATATGGTGGCCAAATAAAGAATTGATTCTTTGAGTCAAACAGATAACTAAAAAGAATTCAAAGAGTTATTCAAAAACCACTAAACAACTTCCATAATTAGTTACAGCGAAAAAACAGTCTCATATCCAGCTCTTATATCCAATTTAATATCTCTACTTGAAAAACTACTATACAGACCCCTTAATTAACCAGATATGCACAATCCTCATCCACTTCTTTTATCAGTAACAATTTCAAAACCACGTGAAATACTACACTAAGTCCAATTCAATAGACCTCAGCTAAATAATAACAAAACCCTAGATGGATAAACAAACAAAAAAACACAGTAATCCCTTTCTAAGTAACCATCGTCGACCAAAAACTAAAGAATTCAACTTTAATGAGGAACAAAATTATTTCAACGGAATTCAACATCGATAAGCAACAAATCATTTCATTGTAAAGACAAGAATCCAACTTTCATAAGCAGCTAAATCATCCCATAAAAAACAAAGAATTCATGTTAGATCAGTAACCAATCTATTAAAAAACCATGCAGTTCAATCAAAAACTGAAGAAATCGATTTATAGATAAATGAACGGCTCCATCAAAAAAAAAAAAATTCAATTTTATGTCAAGCAACAATTTCAAACAAATAATAGAGAACAATTCTACTTATAATACAAGCAACAGATTAAATCCAAAATATTCAAATAAATGTAGTCATTGTTACTTGAATCATAGATCATAAATCATAATTCAAATAAATTCACTTATTAAATACTTTGCAAAATATTCAAAGTAAATATGTACTTGAATCATAAATCACATACAGATTTTATTTTTTAACCTACTCAATCTACAACTACAAAAATCAACAATTTACTAATATATCAATAAATGTAACACAAATCTGTGCTTAAGACTATCTAAGAGTATAAATCCCCAAATTTAAGTAATTTATAGTTATACAGAGACCA